CACACACACACACACCAACCGGCACATGCACACGATCTGGCACTGCATCGAGGTTCGGGTGTGCCACTGCCCAAGCGCGGTGAGCTATCGCGGCGGAGGATGCAGACCTTGCTGCAGCGCGCTGCAGTCGAAAGGACGGAGCGACAGCACGCGGCTCAGGCCATCCTGCCGGAAAACTGGGAAGCAAAAAAAGATTTGCGCGTGCTCGAACCCTGTTTGGATTCTTGCGCAGCAGCTGCGGTGTGGGTGGGGGGTGAGTGTGAGAGAGAGCGTGGCGTGTTTCCTGTCTGATTCGACGAGGCGGCGAACCCGAAGACAAAAAGGATCTTCCTTGCTTCCGACGTGCTGCAGCGAGGCGTGTTGGAAAAAGAAAGTGTCGCCTCCTTCCGACTGAGGCGCCGCGCCACCGTCTACCGCCACGCTGGGCCCCCGCTGCGACACGCGCTCAGGCGCCAAATCAGAGGAAAACTGTCGACGCGTGCATGTTGCCAAAATCTGGTGATTCTGGTCGTTAGACTCGTCGGCCGTGCCGGGCGGAGACAAAAAAAAGGCCAAAGCCAAGGCGCGAGAGGTGCACCGGCAGCCAACTTCCGGCTCGCCATCTCGCTTTTCCTCTCTGATTTGGCTCTCGCCCGAGCCCAAAAAAACTTAAGATTTTCCTTCGTGTTTCAAAACACCTCGCCTCTTGGCCTCTGTGCAAATCGCCTCGCTTTGCCTCTGCTGCTCACTCGCTGAATAGCCCGGCGAAATTCCGCTCGAGCCAAGTCTTTTGGCTTTCTGCGCCTTGGGAGCGCGGTGAATGCCGGTATGGAGCCGGTTGACTGGGACTGCTCCTTCTTCATCTTTTGGCTCCAAATCCCACTCGGGATCCAGCGCAACTGTGACAACCTCTGGTTGTCGCCTGTCGCCTTTCCATCGCGTGACTCTGTGGCCACACATGGCGGTATCAGGCCATGCATACCGCCAGACCGTGTCATCTGCCAAGACGACAGCCTCCAAAATCAACGTCAGGGCTTCCAAATCGCCCCAGATAGGCTGGTGGGGACTGCAGAGCGGTTATGCATAGGCTCCTGAGGCCTCGACACTGGCTCGGGGCGGCATATGTGAGGCAGTGCCGTGGTGGAAAGCCGGTCCGCAAACGAACGGCGTTCGCCTCACGGTAAGCGCGCATTGCGCGGGTGGCCAGCATATTGAATGCTCGCCACCCACCATCGGCGCCGAGCCAAGCTCTTTCATCTGATAAGCTGCTGGCATACCGCCGGCAACAATTTTAGAAATCCCAGCCCGATCCATATCTGGCATTGGAATTTATCGGGTCGATACCTTGCCTGTGACTCCGACTTCCGAGGCTAGGTCGGCACTTCTTCTCCACTTTCTCGAGGGCAACTAGACCACAAGCTCGTCTTCCAAGCCGTCTGACGATCGTGGACCGAGATGCCGCACTCGCACCACTCGCACAGCGGTCAGTTCTGCTCGCATGCCAAAGACTCGCTCGAGCACGTCCTCGAGCGCGCACAAGCGCTCGGCTTCACCCATTTCCACCTCAGCGAGCACGTCCCACGTCAGAACCCATCGGAGCTCTATCCGGAAGAGCTCGAGGCGGCTGTTACACCAGACCGCCTACGGGACACCTTCCACAGCTACCTTTCCGAGGCACGTAGGCTACAGGATGTATACGTCTCTCGCGGCTTGAACGTGCTCGTCGGCTGCGAGACTGAGAACATCACCAGTCCAGGCACGCTCGACTACCTCACCCACATCCTCGGCAGCGATGCGAACACTGCGCCCGAGAAAGTTGGCAAGGGAACCGTCGACTATATCGTAGGATCGCTGCATCACAGCCATGCCATCCCCATCGATTTTGATCGCAAAACTTTCGAGCGCTCCGTCGAGAGCTTTGCCTCGGCAGCTGCGCACGGCGACAAGAGGCAAGCGCATCTCGAGCTTGTCAACACATACTTGGATGATCAGCTAGAGGTGCTGGAGCGACTCCGGCCTGAAGTTGTCGGCCACTTTGACCTGTTCCGCCTGTTTGAGCCGGAACTCAAGCTCGAGGAACCGCAGTTGTGGGCCAAGGTAGAACGCAATGTGCGCTTTGCCGTGGCATACGGCGCACTGTTCGAGTGCAACGCAGCAGCCTTCCGCAAGGGATGGTCATCTGCCTATCCAGCCCCAGACATTCTGCAGCTCATCCTCAAGCTAGGCGGTAGGCTGTGTCTCTCGGACGATTCGCACGGCGTGCATGCTGTCGGACTCAACTACGCCCGCCTCAGACAATATCTTATCGACCAAGGCGTAGACACATTGTGGTACCTCGAAAAGGACTCCGAAGAAACAGCACCAGCGCAGAACGGCCCACCGGTACGCTTCGCCCGTGGTACCGTCGCGAAATCTATGGGGCCCGAATGGCAATCCCACCCGTTCTGGTCGCACTTTACCGCCACGCTCGAGAGCGAATCTCAGCCATAGAACACAGCACCTCGCTCCTGAATCAAAGAAAGATTGTTGCTGATGAAAAGGAGAGAAATGCAGTGTGGATGAATGTACACAAGTGGATGAGTTGATGGCAGCCCTCACTTTCGGCCGCCCGCCTTGCCCTTTCGGGGCTGTGGCAGCGTAAAGGGCGTCTTGAGCACCATGCGCTTTTCGCCGCCCGTCGTGGCGGCGGTGCAGCCGAGCGTGCGGAAGAGCTCGCGCAGCGTCGACGGCGCAATGTTGCAGTTGCGAGCCAGCTTGTCGTAGTCGACCGAAAAGTTGTCCAGATGCAGCGCCAGCGCACACATGTACGCCAGCAGCTTGGTCTGGTGGAACGCCGACATCTGCGCCCGATCCGAGTTGGCCGGCGTCTCGCTGAAAGTAGTCAGCAGCGTACGCACGATGCGCTTGTTCGCATCCTCGCCATCCAGCTTGA